AAGGGAAGGAAGGGAAGGAAGGGAAGGAAAGAAGGAAGGGAGGGAGGGAAGGAAAGAAAGAAGGAAGGAAGGGAGGAGGGAGGGAGGAAGGAAGGGAGGAAGGAAGGAAGGAAGGAAGGAAAAGACAGAAAAGGGAATGGAGAAAGGAAAAGAGAAAAGAGAAGGAAGGAACAAGAGGGAGGGATGAATGAAAAGATATAGAGAAGGGAGACAGGGAAGAAAAGACAGAAGAAAGATGGAAAGGAGGAACATAGAAAAGGAAAGGGAGGGAGGGAGGAAAAGACAGAAAAGAAAGAATAGAATAACAGAATTGGAAGGGACCTTGGAGGTCTTCTAGTCCAACCCCCTAGGCAGGAAACCCTACACCACTACAGACAATGTTGGAGCATTCACAACTTCTGGAGGCAACTTCTGTTCCACTGATTAATTGTTCCAACTGTCAGAAAATTTCTCCTCAGTTCTAAGTTGCTTCTCTCCTTGATTAGTTTAGATTTTGATTAGTAAAAGGAAAGGGATGGAGAGAGGGATGGAAAGGGAAGGGAAGAAAAGACAGAAAAGAGAAGAAAGAAAGAAAGAAAAGGAAAGGGAGCGAAAGACAGAAAAGGAAAGGGAGAAAGGAAGGAAGGAAAAGACAGAACAGAGAAGAAAGGGAGAGAGGGAGGAGGAAGTCAAGATTGCTTCATTTTGATTTGAAATTGGCAAGCTTTCATGGTACCCCACAACTATAAAGTCGGGTTCCTGATTTGCCCTACCCCAAAAGGCTGACAATTAACTCTTTATATAAACCATCCATTTCTGCTTATTTCCGGGAGCCAAATGCTTGTAGTAGCCCCATCCTTCTCGCTCCCTCGCACCTTGCGCCGGTGGATCTAACGACTGAGAAGAAGACCCACATTTTCTGAACTGAAGACTTAGCATCCCGTCCAGGAGATGCTTAACGTGGGAACTGCAAATTGCAGCACCTGGGCCCTACCACACACACACACACAACTTTACACCAGCGAGGGTGTAAAAGGGAAGGAAAAAACTCTTCTAAAATGGTTTTCTCCTGGGGGGTGGGGTAGAAAGAAGCACTAGTATCTCTTTTTTAGCTTTCTGGTTTTGTAGCAACGTGGTTTTTTAGCAACGGTTAAGTGTTGCTTAGAACCAGGGTCTATATTTAAGCGGAGCGCTTGAGGTTTTGCTGAGCTGGGGAACAGAAATAAACCGGAGCTAACCCTGAATTATTTCACTTGCTAAGGTCCTTTTCCTACTCCAAACCCTTCATTAAGGAGGGTTTTGCCTCAGCCCCGAAGAGCCTGGAATCACAAGAGGCAGAAAATTGGAAAAGGGCCATATAAGCAATGATTCCGTTTGGAAGAGCTGAATTTAAAGCCTCCTTCAGAGTGGTCACTCGAGCCTCCAATTTGGACACGTCTGGGGAGGCCCACCTGGCTCGTTCAAAGCCCTTTGAGGGCGGGAGCAACAAACAAACCGTCATAAAACCAACGAACAAACCCACTTGAGCAGTGGAAATGAATGATAGTCTACTCTACGCGCTTCGGCCTGTATTTAAAACGGGTGGTGTTAATATGTATATCTTACTAAGGTCTACTAAGCCACCTGCTGAGGCTTCAGAAGAACACCCAGCTCCAAGTCTCCTCTTCTTAGAATAAAGAATAGAATATAGAAAAAATCGAGATGGAAGGGACCTTGGAGGTCTTCTAGTCCAACCCCTTGCTTAGGCAGGAAACCCCACACCACTTCAGACAAATGGCTATCCAACCTCTTCTTAAAAACCTCCAGCAATGAATCATTCACAGCTTCTGGAGGCAACTTCTGTTCCACTGATTAATTGTTCTCAAAATCAGGAAATTTCTCCCTAGTTCTAAGTTGCTTCTCTCCTTGATTAGTTTCCACCCATTGCTTCTTGTTCTACCCTCTGGTGCCTTGGAGAATAGTTTGACTCTCTCTTCTTTGGAGCAACCCCTGAGATATTGGAAGACTGTTATCATGTCTCCCCTAGTCCTTATTTCTCTTAAACTAGACATACCCAGTTCCTGCAACCGTTCTTCATAGGTTTTAGCCTCCAGTTCCCTCATCCTCTTTGTTGCTCTTCAATGCACACTTTCTGGAGTCTCAACATCTTTTTTACATCATGGTGACCAAAACTGGATGCAGTATTCCAAGTGTGGCCTTACCAAGGAATTATAAAGTGTGTGTTTGTGTGTGTGTGTTTTGCTGTGAATAAGCTTGATTAACTCTTATTAAAGATTCGCTATCTAACTCTAAGTTGACAACTTTGTTCCAGGTGCCGACTCCCTGTGTGGACACAGCCTGAGTTTTAGCGATGAAAAGTTACATTCCTCTCCTCCGTCCAGTCCTTCTGGCTCTTCTCCCACGATCGCCTCTCGCAAAGGTACGGCTTTTGAAGCCTCTTTTTAGAAATTAAAAAAAAAACATCATCCAGAGTGGGAATCACGATCGGCCGAATGTGATCGTGGGGAGGATACTAATGGTTGCTAAGTGTGAAAACTGGTCACAAGTCACATTTTTTTTTTCAGAAATAGCAGAAGGTTGAAGTGCAATTTTGCTGGAAGAACGGCGGTAAGGTTCTTGGGTTACCAATTAAGGGACCGAGTCAGCAGATAATCTGTTTCACTTTTTCATCCCTATATCCATCTCTTTGGCCCCCTCAAACGTTTTTCTTTAGTTTGCAAGATTTCCAAAAAGTAAAGAGAGTACCAGAAAACTAACCATCAAGTCAACATTTCTATTGCGTAGACATCATCGGTTTTGCAATTGTCTTTTTTTCTTTCCAGCAAAACTTGGAGACACCAAAGAACTAGAAGACTTTATTGCTGATCTTGATAGAGTTTTGGCAAGTAAGTAATCAACCTTGATTCCTAGTAGATATCTCGGCAAGGATCAGGGGACACACCAATAGATCCCTGCCCAGGAAACAATGAACAGATATGACCCTGCACGCAAAGGAAATCCACCAGGACAATGTCAAAAAAAAAAGTCAAGATGGCAGCTGTGACCACACAAAGCCTAGGCCCTTTGTACAGGTGTGTATCAGGCTTCGCACCTGAAGGCAAGAACCTATTTAGACTTCTTACATGCATAGGGATACATTGATTTAGGTCAAAAGGACTAAGGCTGTGTTAGAAACTGTGTTTGTCTAGCACCACTGAGCAAACAAGGAGCACCATCACCATGTGCTTTACTGCTCAGCTGTTTAACTGTAACAAGAAACAGGAAGCTCTACATAGACCAAAAGATCATAGAGTATATGCCATAGATCCAAACTTGTAAACACTGCCATATGCTGGCTGAATACCACTGTAGTTGTTGCATAGAAATACATTCCAATAATGAATTCCAGCAGGCTGAATTAATGTTTGACTGGATGCTTCCATTGGGAATCTGAATACAGGTAGATTTTGAGCCCAAAATCTCTGCTGCTAAACATGACATTTGTTAAGTGGGTTTTGCCCCATTATATAACCTTTCTCGCCACGGTGGTTACATGAATCACCGCAGCTGTTAAGTTAGTAAATGAATCTGGCTTCTACATTGACACTGCCAGAAGGCCGCAAAGGGAGAATCACATGACCCTGGGACACTGCAACCGTCATAAATATGGAATCGGTTGTCTGAATTTTAACCACATAAGCAAGAGATGTTGCAGCACTTGTATGAAAAAACAATTATAAGCAGGAGTGGGCTTCAAAAATTTCAGCAACGGGGTCTCTGCCCGGTTGCTAGGTGGGTGTGGCCATGGTGGGCGTGGCCTAGGCAGCCTCCTGCACCATGGGAGAAGGGAGGGCGTTTTTGCCTTCCCCAGGCTCCTCGAACCTCTGGGGCAGGCATAAACTCCCTCCTCCCTGAGCCTCCATGTGGGCCCTGCATTTATATCCAAAACGGGCCACGTGGAGACTCCTGGGAGGGGAGGGGTGGGCGTGGCCAGCCAGGGGTGGGATTTGGAGATTCTCCGAATCGGCCATATCGTTAACTCTGCGTTCTCCCAAACCCAAGCAAACCCATAGCAGCCTACCCGCTGGTTGTAAGTAACTTGTTGTCATAACTTTGAACCGTCACTAAATGAAACGGCTGCAAGTTGAGGGCTGCCTGTCTCAGGTTAGTTACTTTATCTCCGTTTTATTTCACTCCGTGCTCAGAACTTGTATCTATCATTCCAACTGCATTGCGAATGCATCTTGGAAGATTATTTGTGCTGCGCAAACGTAACAGTAATATTTATTCCATCTGAATGTTTGCACAGGTATGTGAAACACTGAATTTTGACCCAAAACCTGCCTTCAAAAGGATGAGATGGGAGTTATATTCCTGCAACCCACCATCTAATGGGACCGACACAGGATTCCTTCCCTTCTCAGTATTTCTCCAGCCACTGCCTCTTACACTTTAACATGTCGTAATTTTTAGGTGATTTTAAGTGATTTTTTCTACAGACAGAATCAAATAACACAAGTGCTCAAAAAGGCTTTTTTTAAAAAAATGTAGCTTAACATTCATTTAAAAGAGCTTTTATGAAAAGATTGGAAATTCTATATCATGAACTTTTGAAACGTTTTCACGGTAATATATTTTTGTACGCAAATAAAAGCTAAACTGGAACTTAATATATATATAAATAGGGCGAGAGTGAGATTAAACAGATGGATGGATGGATGTTTGTCTAGATGAATTGATGGACAGACAGATGAAAGATGGATGGATGGATGCTAATTAATTGAGGATAGGTAGCTAGTAGTATAGGATGAATAGATGGCTAATTAATTGAGATAAATGAGAAATGAAACGCATAGAGGGGTAGATGGATGTTTAATTGCATGGGAGGATAGACAGAGAGAGATATGATAGATAGAAAGAGAAAGAAATGGCNTACTCTACTCTTCATTCCAATATTCTACCTCTACTCTACTCTACTCTACTCTACTCTACTCTACCCTACTCTACTCTACTCTACTCTACTCTCTACACATGATTTAAGCCCAGAACAGGAAGCAAACATAACAAACAAATTCAAACTGCCTCTACCTTAACTCTCAGGAGAAAAAGAGGATAAGTAGGAAAACATGTCAGCCTTTCGAAGATTGTGTTACCACGGCCTGCAGTATATCAATAAAGTTGAGTTCCAGCTATTCTTCATTTCCTGACCTGCTTCACCTCAAAGGATTGGCAGGCATTGTGCAGAACCTCTCCCAGGTCCTGAAGATTGAGACCTTGGGGTCATCCTTGGGATGAAGAACGTTCTCTATTGTAAATTGATCTGATCCATTTGTCTCCCTGTTTTCGTGGCTGTTTACCAAAAACTCTGCCCCCACCCCCAGCCGTGAATGTTCAGCGCATTGCTTACTGGGTTGAATAATCAGACTAAAACTGCACATGATGACAAATTCCATTTAGCCAAGAGTTGTTCCTTTTTATAACCAACGCTGTCGATTCCCATAACAATCTAATTCTTCACTAAGATTCAACACGCTATTTACTGCAGCCTTGTTCTCTTCATGCTACCCTGATCTTCATATTAATGTTTGCATTTCTAGGTGGTTACTAGGCTGGCAGCTCTGATCTGGAAATGGCCTTTTATTTTATTTTATTTTTAAAAAATGATCCTCTACCTCCCTTTCTCTGCCCTGATCTACTTCTGCTTCATTGACTTCATTGAATAGAATAACAATAGCAATATCACTAATATATTGCTTCACAGTAGTTTACAGAGTCATCCTCTTGCCCCCAACAATCTGGGTCCTCATTTTACCAAACTCGGAAGGATGGAAGGCTGAGTCAACCTTGAGCCAATCAGGATCGAACTGCTGGCAGTGGGCATTGAGTTAGCCTGCAATACTGCATTCTAACCACAGTGTCACCATGGCAGAATAGAATGGAAAGGGATGGGATGGGATAGAATTGAATAGAACAGAATAGAATAAACAGAATTGGAAGGGACCTTAGAGAACTTCTAGTCCAACCCCCTGCTTAAGGAAGAGCCAAGGTGGTGCAGTGGTTAGAGTACAGTACTGCAGGCCACTTCAGCTGACTGCTATCTGCAGCTCAGCGGCTCAAATCTCACTGGCTCAAGGTTG